CCCACTAACACCGGCACGGCACGGCGCGGAGCATCAGCCCCCGGCAGCCGCGGCGGGCGGCGCGGGCCACAAAAAGGTCCCACCGCGCCGCCCGGGACGCACCGCGCTGTCTTGTTCGGCGGCCAACGTCTTTCATGCTTGGATTACTTCAAATGAAGGGGAGGATCATCTGTAAATACAGTCGAGGAGAGGCGGCGGCTACTGCGGCTACCCATCGCCCCCACCGCAGAGTTTGTTGCGAGCCGCGCGAGCGCAGCGCGGCGTGGGAGGGTGGGGAAGGGAAGGGAGGGGAAGAAGAGACGGTTGTCCCGGCCACTCACCGTGTGATGGGATGCAAGCTGCAAAGGATGGCCCCCTGAGGTCGACAAGGGCTTTGCACACGTAAACGTGCGCGCGTACGAACGCGACGGAGTGGCGGCTCAGACTGATGCGGAGGGTTCTGAAGGATCTCGGGGAGAAGAAAGAGGAGCGACTCGAGGATTGGAGAGTGCAAGGGGTAGATATTGCAGAGACGAGAGGGTGAAAGTGCGAGGGAGGTGTAACAAAAAGGAAGCTATCGAAAGGCTTATAAAAACAATGAGAGAACTGCGTAAGCGCTACGAACGGCACATTTAACGCAAATCAGGGTGTCGCTTTTCCTTCGCGTTCCACTCTTTCACTCCCTTCCGCAATTAGGTCGCTTTCTTCATTACCGTCCACCATTGTCAGCGGTCACCATCCAATTCTGCCACCTCTTTAGATACCACCTGACCCGATCCCACCCTCCCGGTCCCACTCCTCCCGATTCACCTGTCCCTTCCCCATCCCACCACTCCCCTTGACACCTCTCCTCCCCATCCCCGCTCCGTCGGGTGCGGTCGGACACGGGACATCAGTCTTTCGGTCGCGCCGGTCTCCCGAAGGCCCGTATTACTCTTGGGCCGGCGACGATTCGGGCTCGATAGTAACCGGCCAAAAGAATAGCGTAATTAAGAGCGAGGCGAATCGGCCGGGGAATCAGCCGCCGCGCCGGCCGGCCCTCCGAGAGATAGAGGTAAAAAGCCAGACGCGGCCGCCGGCAAAAAGGCAGCCCAGAGACCGCCGACGAGACCGAGAGACACAGACAGAGACGCGGCGGAGACACGGGATGGGATTGGGGAGACACGGGATGAGGCAGGGGAGACTCCAGGGATGAGACTCTGAAGACATGAAATGAGGCTGGGGAGATGCATGCCTTGAGGCTGTGAAAACACAAAAGTGATTGAAAACACAAGTGTAGATTGTAGAAGAATATTGAAGATAATCTGGAGCCTGTGAACTTACGAGTGTACCCAGACACAAAGTGCGAAATTTCCTTCAGCCTCAGAGGAGAGTGTGGCGTTAGACCTCAGTCAACTCAACTGGAGACGAGCGAGATGAAAGCCTCTCTCAGATGACAGTTATTAATCAAATAAAAAGGACACATTGTCACCGAGAAGGTGTAACTTTGATTTGAAAGCCGGAATTGAAGTTCACGAGTGCAGTCATGTCCGAGCAGCATGGCGGAGGAGCTGGGGTCAAAGGGGACGGTCACACACCAGCCCGGCAGTGAATCCATGCATTCAGTAGAGCCAAAATGACGCCATCCACTACCACAAACTCCTGCTCCGTTAAAGCAACGACTAAGGCGTCATGCAGCCAGTCACCATCCCTCTGCAAGTCGAGCTTATCCGGGAGCCAAGCACCTCCATCGGCCGCAGGTCTGGCAGGTTTAGCAGGCCGCCGACGCTAGTGTTTAGATCAAGCACACTCCACCTGTAACCGATACTACACTCGTGTCGGTTCGATGGTGAAGGGCGGATCGACGGACGGCGGTGGGGCAGGCTCGAGCTGCAGACGACTATCTCCATTCTCCCCACGGCACGGGCAAACCGGGCCCCGTCCAGCGGCTCTATGTTCCCCACACTGCCGATGCTCGGTGCAGATACGCCACACTGCCGACCCATGAGTCAGAGGGGTGCAAGGAGCGATCTCGGCGGACCTACGACAGGTGGCGGGGTGCATTCATTCAGCCACGTCGACCAGGACCGTTGGTAATTTATTCAGTTCAGAGAGACTGCGGCAGTGTCCTTATGTCATACCGGGTATGGTCACGGTTGATTATTTCCTGTTGGGCCAAGCAGACGGTGGACGGCAACGAAACAACCGGAATGCTAGGAATAGGGAAGAGAACAAAAATACAGAACAATTGGAGCATAGCCAGATGACGAGAGTCTCACTAAGAAGAGGAATAAGGTGTTACAAAACTGAACATCTCCTGTGAAGTTCTCATAATCCTCTCGGGATGTTGAAAATGGGAAGACCTGACAAAGTGGAATTGTCCTTGGGACAGGCGTGCCATCATTGCAGACTTGTGATCTAGCTTTGGTGATGACATCTGGCCTTCCCACTATCTCCTGTTCCAACCCCAGCCTCCTTTACCCTCAGTCGTGCTTTGCCCACGTGCTGCCGCTGGAGCCACGACGGGCTGCCCCCATCGCCGCGGCGTCCGACACAGCATCAGATAGCGGTACAGAGGTGCGCTATGGTCGGGTGCGCTCGGTGAGCTAACTCAGCGCGGAGCCATCGCGATAGAGCTGAGAAGAGCAGCTCAGTCACTTAGATTCAGTCACTTCAACGGGTCATAGTCAGACAGCGAGACCGTGGTCACTCTTTCAGTCGGCTAGTCAGCCTGAGTCCCTCTCCAAGCACACTGCTCCAGTCGGCAAGAACAGTAGCGAAGTGTGGATACCTTCGAACTCCTAGCTCCCGAAGGTCACAGTGCTTTCGAAGTGTTGCAGAGCAGACGACGACGGCAATGTCGCTCACCGGTCGACGGAATCACACCTGATCAGGCCACTCGGGGTAAATAATGGCCTGTTTGGATTGCGAATGAGCCACGCGGCCGCTCCCGTGCACAGAATCGCGCTCCACATCGACATCTGGACGAAAATCTCGACTCGTATGCAGATATTTGGGCACGATCCCTCCGAAGACGCATGTAGTTTTAGTCACTGCGTAGGTCACGTGCCGCGCACACTAGGATCCGACCTGGATGGAAAGTCTGCTGCTCTAACGTACAATTGCCCAGGAGCGCTACACGAATTCACCATGCGGCGTTAATTCACTGCAAGCCTGATAATGACGATAATCTCTGGTATTTCAGGACGTCGCTCGCTGCGGCTACGACCCGCCGTAGGAGATTTCATTCACGAGCGCTGGCCGGCCCGTTCCGGCTCCTCGGGTCTCGCACACAAGCGGTCATTAGGCGAGTAATACCCACCGGGGCCGGAGTATTACCCACACCGGAGGCGGGGCCACTCCAAATTGCCACGAACACCGAGTGGACTCGTGTAATCGCTCCGCTACGCACCGCCCCCAGGGAGAGTGTTAAATCAGGCGGCCGGAATGAAGTGCATCCAGGTAAATCTGGCAGGATAGAATCCAGGGTATGTGCCGGGCGCACGACAGAGACGCGGCTTAAACAGGCGCCTTTAGCGCACCTGATAGATATAGCCGCTGATTGAGACGGGGAAAACGATTTAACATCCATCATAACGAAGGTTTGAAGAATGCAACTAATCCGTAATCAGCATATTCAGATACATTTCATTACTACGATGCAGCGCGGCCTTATCCATCCATCTTCAATCTCGATTCGTCTCATGTGAATCAGTCCTCTCCTGGCTTCTATTTGTACGGTGCAGGACAGCCCCACAACACCACTACTCTTGGCGAGGGTCACTCTTGACCGGAAGCCAGAGTGGACCTTCCAGCTCCGTCAACTCCGTAGGCAGAGGCTACGACGTCAAAGGCGGCAGAGGCGGCGCCAGGGGCGGAGCTAGTGAGCCCACGTATCACCGTTTACAACCAGCTCCACTCTCCCCAGCTTCCACCGCCGCCTCTGCCGGTCCAGCGCCGCTGTTTGCACAGGGCTCAAGGATATTCGCGCCCGACTGTGGCGGCCGCTGCCGTCGCCTCCAGCACTCAGAGCTGAATCGGATAGATTCCTCGCCAATTTTCACCGATTGTTTGCCGGCCGTACGGTGGACGCCGTCCACAGAGAGGTCCGCGCTGCACTGCATGGGTCTGCAGCCAGGACGGGCCGCGAGCGGTCACAATTGGACCCGGCTGCCGTACAAACGGTGTCAAGTGGCAACTGACACCCGACATTAGGATGATCGAGTAAACAGGCGACCCGGGAGGTATGTGTCACGAGCTGGGTTGGTGTGGTGGGGGGGGGGGGCGGTGTGGGTGGACCGCTGGAGACGCGGGTAGAAGGTCCAGAAAGGAACAGTTTCCTACATGCGAGCCAATAGCACATGCAACGTAATGATATAATCCAACAGGGATCATCAAATTTCCATGACATTTTTACATATTCAAAATATATTCAGAACATTAAAACTGAATTGAATAAATGCAAAATTTATTATAAATAAAGCATAAAAAGCTAAATCCATCCGGCAGCCGGCACGCCGCTGTCATGTCAGTTATCTTCCGGCCTACTTAAAACATGACAGCTCCGCCGAGCAAGGCACGCTGCCCATCATAATGCACGCATCTCATATGCTGCAGTAATGCACATCCTGAAAGTGGTCGCTGCAGTGTGCACCCCCGACCCGCTCCGTGACTCAGACACCGGTCCCGGCCGCTGCCGGACGGACGGTGCGATCGAGTCCAGGTGCATTGAACGTCGCCGGCGGCCGTCCGACCGCCGACACACGTCGATGCGGCATCCATGCTAATGCTGCGTCTGACATGCCGGCACGGCTATTAAACCGGAGATAACGTTCTTAAAACGCTGAAAGATACGGGTTATAAGTACGCTTCTACGTGAAATACGTTTAGGATGAAGGGCTGCTTTAAGTAACATAACGAAGCACATCTCTTGAGCTGTATGTGACTTGCTCTTGATTGTTGTATGCCGTGGATCCCCGTGTGAGTTTTACCGCTAGTCTCCGTGAGCCTCCGTGAGTTCTGCCGTGAGTTGTGCCACTTACCGTGAGTTGACGCCTCCCTGCGCTGCCGCCAGATCCTCCACTGTCGGCTTTCTGTAAATCAAATAAGCCAAAACTCAGCGACGAGCAAACAAAACCGGAGAGCAGGGTCAACAGAGGCCAACGCTGGGAGGTCCCGACCGGTCGCGCGCGCCGGCAGCAATAGCCACTCGATGACAGCCAGCTCGAGCCGGCAATGGCACGTGCAGGGGGGGGGGCGCACCTACACAGCACAGACCGGACCAACCATCCCCGGAACGTAAATGCATGCAAAGTTAGGGAATTAAACAATGTAGACGGCAATTTGCAAAGCATTCTTAGCGAGAAATCCATTGTATGGAGGGACATGTGCACATTCCAAACAACAAAATACATCTTCAAATTGACTAAAGGGTATGCCGACTTTCGAAAAATGCGTCAGATTGCATTGCTCTTACAACAGCTGCGACAGGTTTAGGGACCGCGCAATGCGTTTGGCATGCGCTGCACGAGACTAGGGAGATCTTACATGGTGGCGGGTCATGGCAGGAATCTTACTTGCAATCGGTCGTCTGGGCCAGGTCCATGTCTTCTAAAACCTCACAAACGTCTGACTGGTCCAGTGGCGGCGTGTCCCGCCCACTGACAGCAGTCCCTCTACACCGAGTGTGTGTGGTTCTCGCGGCGGTCGGCGGAGCGCCCGGCGGAGCGCACCCTCACCTCCGCGGCGGCGACGCGACTGGCGCGCCGCTCAGCTGATTACAGCAGCTGACCGCCGCCACAGTCAAATTTGATTGGCTAATTGAATAATAAGAGCGTCCATGGCGATCGGACCCATCGGCCGGTCACCTGCGGGAGGACAGGTTTCTCGAGGGGTGTTCAGAGCGTGGAGGACGCTAGAACTGGTCCTCGGAAGACGAAGACGCCGTCTCGGCCGGCCGTCCTCTCCGCCGAGCTGACCTTGCGGCCGCAGCATCCCAATCCGCCGGTGCACGGCGCGGCTCGGCTTGTCGCTCGTGCCCGCCCGCCGACCCCGCGCCGTGCCAGAGCCGCGCGCGGGCGACCCCCCGACGTCGGTCCGACGGACAGGGCCTTCCGACGGCCTCCGTCGCGGCGACTCACTGCATAGGGCTTAGTCACCAGTCGACGGGGCGCTAATGAATTTACTGGCGACCGGCGGGGGCGACGATTGGCGCTGTCGGTCTTCTGGCAGCCGCATTCACGGCCGAGCTGGCGGCGATGGATTTAGGCGGTCTCTTGTCGCCTGCCCGAGGTCGTGGAGTATTGAACAACAATGCTAAATCACCGCGCGGCTGTATCATAAAGCACGGGCCTGAAAGATACTGCGGATCCAATTTGCGCGGAGGGTCTTTTACACTTGTTCGTGCGTCCCCGCCGAGAGACGAAAAATGAACGCCGACAGGCCCTTTGGCGCTGAAGAGCTACAAGCACGAGCCGCGCAGACGATTCACCTTGCGCAGTGATGACCTACGAACCTCATCCAGACAACCTGACGCGAGTACGTGCCTGAGCAATCCGAAACGCGACCAGTTATTTACGCGACATTTACGCATTTGCAGTATCGGCACGGCACGCTTGGTGTGATTTACCTTCTGCAAGTGGGGTAAAGTTAATACAACGAGTCTGCGCCCCATTACCGGCGCTGTCAATGTTCAGTGTTGTAACGGTCAGTCCGCAGACGGAAAATATTGGCCATCAAATTATGGAGAGGGCGTCGTTTTGTGCCGCCGTTCGCCGGCCGGTCGCTGGCAGTAGAGACAGACGACCACTCCGGGCCCACGAGCCGGCGTGGTCTCATTATTTGCCATGCATCACTACCAGAAGCGGGCTGTCAATTAGGCCCACCACTCGGCAGCAGGTGTGAGGAATCTGCCCGCCCCGGCCGAGGCAGACACCTTTGCATAAGAAAACACGGTGCATCTCTGCAGCAGCGGCGCGTCCGAAGAGGCTTTGTTGGTAAACGGCGATGGTCGGTGGCGTCATTTCTGCGGCCTCCGGCCCGCTTTGTGCCATCGACGGTAGACCGAGGCGCTATCTCAGTAGCGTCGGTAAGTGCACAGACACTGTAACGCTAATGCTGCTTGATAAGGTATCGGCGAGTCGCTTTGTCCGCGGAGAGGTTCAGTCGGTTTACACGTGCCCAAAACGGTCGGCTATTTGTTTTTGTCAGATCTGACAACAGACTGGTGCGAGATTCTTTAGACCAGCATTCTTGGGGGTAGCTAAGCGAGGTAACAGCAAAGCGCAGAAACCAAAGACACGTCTGTTCAAACTGCTCAGCGTGATGACTGACAAGCATCGCAAAATGTGCATACAAAAAGGAATGTTCAAAGTCTTCCGCAAACGATGGCGAGCCATCCTCAACATTTTTGCCTCGCCAATGTTGATGGTGGTATTCGCTGTTTCGCAACGACTGAAAGGCCCCAGCCTAGCGCTCGTTGCCGACTCATGCCCTAGATGACGCCTCCCAGAAGCCTCACGGCAGGCTGATACCAATCTTACAACTGTGTCTGGCGCGGTGAGCCTTATTTTTCAATTACCTATATGTATAACCAGCAAGTGCTCGGCACCTATTGGCGATAAAAATCTAGGTTGAATAGATTACTGAAAAATGCACATAATCAAGCGCGCCATTCACTGCGGCTAACTGAGAGGCCGTCATAAAGTTTATCATTCAGCCAGTTTCCCGGTTATTCTTCACCAAGGCCAACGGTCAGCCGGCCAAGCCCACAGACCATTGGCGCATGCTTGCATATGGAAATCTGGCCATGAATGAGTGCGACTTGCAGCCGGAGTGCTAGTTCGCCTTGAAGTTCAAATCAGCACCACCCGCCGTCCGCACGAGAGGTGGCTCCTGGCGGCGGGAATAAACACACACTCGGGAACACAGAGCACCCAGCGGGAGCACTCACGAGTTCCCCTCCCCGCCCCTCCCCGCCCCCTCGCACCACCGCGACACTCCGGCCTGGGCATCGAGACCGTTTTGTTGGCGCCCAAGAACAATGAAACGGTTGTGATTGATACCTGGGTCCGGTTCAGATGACTGGGGAATTTTGTCGTGATTTATTTCATTTGTGTTTGTCAGTCAGGCGCAGAGTTGGGCCCCAATAAATCACGCCGGACCGGAGTGTCTCTCCAAACGGTCAGTCGGCCTGCCAGAGAGCAGATCACAGACAGACCGGTGGACGGACGGACGGACGGACGGATGGACGGATGGATAGACGGACAGACGGATAGAAGGTCGGCAGGACAGATGGGCGAACAGGCGGACGAACGGATGGATGGATAGACGTAAAGGCGAATAGAAGGTCGGATGGATAGACGGACGAACGGATGGATAAATAAGACTGGTAGACAGACAGATGGACTAATATACCAGCATACGAACCAAGAGATGAAATAGACGGATATTTACTATCCGTGGACCAGCAGTCAAAAGAAGACATGAACGAGCAAACGAACCAACCATCCGTCTGACAGGCGTCTGAACTTCTATACAGATAAGCATGGAGGGCCCCGAGTCCATCAGCGTTCTCCGCGCCGCCTGGGGGTGACGGGAGAGGCTCGCGCCGCAGTGCAGGCCGGACCTGGTGCCGGTCACGGCGGGGGGCGCGCATTACAGGACCCCCTCCTCGCACCGCGGCATTGTTGCAAATCATAAAATCGCCGCCGCCGCGTGGGACCGAGTGGTGCGCGGCGGGGTCGGCCGGCGAGCAGCGGCGCGGCGGCGAGCAGCGGCGCGGCGGCGAGCAGCGGCGCGCCCCACCGCGCCGCCGATGGCTGAAATATGAATTGCCGGCTGACCTCTGGCCAGGAGCGGCCTCGGCGGCCAGCATCGCAGGTCACCGAGGTCACTACGGCCGGTGGTCAGCCCTCTCAGCTCAGCTCCAACCAGCTCAGCGCCGCGCCTCTGAGCCCAGCAGAAGTCCCAGGGTCGGACCCAGAGTACCCTAACCCCAGTCCCTGCTGCGCTGTGGGGCACCCCGCGTCGAATTCCTTCGATCGGAACTCGAACTCTGACTAATTAGTAACGGCTCGGCGGAGACAACTGGTCTGCTGGAGCCGCCGCTACCCGTCCATGAATTCCTAGAACCTGGCCGGAGTAAATTTCTCATCGGCGCTTGTGGCGCCTCGCGAGAGGCATCTTCCGCGGAATGCCCTCTGACTCCACGCAGTGGACACACAAACGGAAATTCCGCCAGGAGACGGGGACAGGAGCCGACCTCTCGCCGGCTCTAAAACAGTCGATAAATGAGCCAGCGAGACCGACCAGTTCGCCGCGTCCGTCCCAGTCGCTCCCAGTCGGGCCATTTGCCGAAACTGGACTGGCCGTTGCCATTCGATGGTTATGGACTGGGCAGTCTACACCGGTCGTCGCCGGTTATCCCAGTCAAGGGAGCAATGCCAGGCTGGAGTGTGAACTGGCCGGTCATTTATCTGGCGACAGTTCTCCGTTTGTCGGCACCTCGGCACGGCGGGCCAGGTCGGAAGTGGTCGCCGATCCCACCCATCAGCCGGTACCACACATCTGTCCACGGCCAGACTTTATCGCGACGCGCATCGAGCGCCTCACTTAGCGCCGCACTTTATTGCCATCGGTCCGATCGCTGCCTGGAGACAGATTCCTGACACCGGACCGACAGAGGCAACACCTCCCTCCCCTCTGTGGTGTCGCCTCCCCTCCCGGAGTTCCCCACCCTACCCTCGGCTCGGTGGGAGCGTCGCTCTCCGTCCCAGCCGGTGCGCAACATTAGACCACAATTTTTACCGTAAAACAATATCGCGCCGCGGCCGGATGGCATTCCTGGGTGGCCCACCTGCCGGGGCGTTTCTCTCCGTGGCGCGCGGCCCAAGCGAGCACCAGTTCTGTGACACAGGGGAGGCGGCGCCCATTCAACGTCGCCACCTGACACAGCGCGGCGGGTGGCGCACCGCATGGGGACAATCGCGGCGCGGTAGACACATGGAGCGGCGCAGTGCCGACGGAGGTGGCCCAGGCCCGATCATGATGGAGATATCAGATAGTGTTGAAAAGAAAGTCGCTGGCGTTGGCGGCGCGCCGCGGATGAGGTCGAAAGTGATGAAACTGTAACACGGATAAAACTGCACTGAAATAACGAGCGCAGAAATTCATGGATATGTTTTTGGGTTATGTTATCATACCTGGCTATAAAGAGTGCACCAGCTAGTGCACTTTTATTACTTAGGTTAAAATCAATTATTTATATATTTCAATATCCAAAATAATAAAAAAGAGAGCAATGGGTAAATCCGTGACAGCCCGGTGCAGCGCGTCAGTGTCGTGACCTTACGCATGTCTCGTTCAATCGAGTGATCAAAGTTAGCAATGATTTGGCGTGTTCAGATACTGCATATTCATGAACGGCATAAAGAACCGAAGCCGAATGTCAAATTAAATTAGACGGAAAGCATCCATCTAATTGGAGCCGTTTTGCATGAGCGAAATCGAAGAGTTATAGTTCATGGCATTGAATCGGTGGTCGAGTTTAATTGACTGCACTGCTCCATATAACATGCAAGCTCTTCAGTGATAGCCCGCAATATGTCGGTTCAATTTCGCATAGCATCAAGATCGAATTCCTCAAACCAATTGCATATGCAGCATCCCAAAGGTCGAACAGTAGAGCACGTGCTCTCATTGCTGAGTGGTATTTACACCGGGGGAAGTCAGCAGATGCTTCAGCAGGTGCTCCAGCAGGTGTTACCGGGAAGGAGCCAGTTTGTCATCCGAGGAGCTCGTAAAACTCTTCGACATTGCTCTGCATCTGTGCGATGTAATTTTACAACAGCCATAAAGTGACTTCCATATCTAGTAAAACACGACTCGGTATAGTTTCGCGGCGCGTCTCTGATGTCAGCAAATGCTGATGGAAAATGGACAAGTCTAATGAAACTAGATGTTCCTATTTGGATGCGCCCAGTAGAGAATCGGATTTTTGAAGTTCTAACCATTATCATGAAGAACATGCCAAACCGGTAAGATAACAATGAAATACCTTCCGCGTTCTGTTGTTTCGACGTAGACGGTGCGCTCGAGTAGACATTTTTACAAGGAAGGAAAGTTCAACGGTAAACCCATAGAAAATTACCGCTGAAACAGTATTTACCCGTTTCCAAGGTGTAAAAAGCAGAAAAATTAAGTAGATATGAGATGAAGCACTACATTGTTCGATAAGAACACACCTTCTCCCACGGTATCGCAGCTACCTGTCTTTAAAAACCAGAGGAAGCCATCTTTGGTGAGTCAAAGGCCGGCCGATCCTCCCAGTCGCGCTATCATTTGCATGGACGACAGATCTGT